CAAAAGACAGACATATAAGTTGAACATTTACCTCAAGTAGATACACTCCTTGGATAAAACAATCATGGGAGAAAGAAGGGCTGCTTATGCATAGGGAGACAGCACAGGAGGCAGGAGTCCATGGAGGGATGGACACTGGGAAGAGGTTACTCTGGGTAGGAAGTGGGAGGGGAGCTGTTGCATTGTGGTAAACTGGTCAATGTCATGAGACAAAGTATATGTGAACTACTGTATGGAAAGTGAATTTGCTCTGTAAATCTTCACTCAAACCACAATTTAAAATAATAATAATAATAATAATAATAATAAAGATTATAGCCTTGGAAGCCCTACGGGGGTCACTGAGTTGGAATCAACTTGAAGGCAGTGGGTTTTGGTTCTAGTGCAATAAGAGGTTGTAAGCCTTTTCAATGATTTAAAAGCTGCATATATGAAGATGATTGTGATGAATTTGTTGCAAATAGGGTTGGTTCAGTCATTTCAAAGTGAGGGAAAGTTTACATAGCATCAAAGGGCACGTACAAGTTGTTCTAACTCTGTTGTTTGTAACCTGGGGACTTGCTGTGTTTCCTCACACTATGTAAGAGGAAAAGGAAGAGAGCTAATACTTTTGGAAGTGTATTGCATCAGCTGGACAGAGGATGGGCACTATAATCTTGATTCTGTTTGACCCTCACTGTTCTCACTCAGGTGATATCTAATAAATACCACTCCCCGGCTGTCCCACTCATACCCTCTCAAACCTTGAGTGAATGAGCTCAGGCTTTGTGGTGGGTGACACAAACTGGGCTCCAGTTCTCACTTCTGCCATTTGCTTTATGACTTTCCAGCAAGTTTTTTTAATTATCTGAACCCATTTCTACATCTCTTTGATGTTGCTAATGATGCCCATCTGTTGTTTGCTGAAGGGATTCAGGGAGGCCCAATGGAAAGAACTTAACACATTGCCAGGCCTGGGGTCCATCCATATTGGCTCTTCAAAATCGACAAAGAGGAATACTGTTACTATTGTTACTGTTACTTCACCCATAGTTCCATAAATCAACGTGCTTTTAGTTTTTCTAATTTACTTGTAAATTGTTTTTTATTACATTTGATTTTTCATATTTTCTAAGAAATAGGGCTGATGTTTCAGTTAACCATTGTTAACTGAAGCCCATGGACTTCAACAGTTTGCCCCTCATCTTTTAGTTAATCTGTAAATTTGTGGGTTCTGTTTCTAAACATGTATATTTGTATCCCTTGTCTAGTCAAAGTCTTTAGAATACAGAATAATTTATCAGTTTAGCAAACAGGTTTTCCCAGTGTGAGAAATATGTGCATAACTAATTGGACTATAAATAAAGCAGCTCTGGAGAGTGGTTTTTGTTCTTTAAAGTGGCAGAACATGGGATTAGAAATGAGGTTAAAAAAAACTTGTGGAGAGTATTATGTACAAATTTATGGGCAACAAATTTAAAAGTCTAGAAGAAACGCAGGGTTTCCTGATTAAGTAAAAGTGATTCATATAAGTATTGGGAAACAAGAACAGACCAATTACTATACACAAGTTAGAAAAGGTGATTAAATAAATTGAATTTTTTTAAAAGTTATGTAATACAAAAAAAATGCATATTATAAACTTACAGCTTGATGAATTTTTCTAAAGTGAACCTACACACATGAACAACTCTCAGATCAAATGCTCCCTTGAGTTCCCTGTCAGTCTCTGTTCTCTACCCTCTGCCCTATCCTTATCCCTAGGAAGTAACCACTAATGTGACTTCCAACAACATAGATTAGTTTTGCCCATTGTTGTTTTTTATGTAAATGAATTCATTTAAATGTGCACACTTTTGTGTCTGGATTTCTTAGCATGGTGTGAGGTTCACTGATACTGTTGCGTGCAGTAGTAGAAAGTTAATTGTCATCATTGTACAATAATCTGTTGTGTGGATAAGTAACGCTTGGCTTATCCATTCTGCTCTTGATGGACATTTGGATAGTTTTCATTTTGGATTATGAGTAGTGCTATTGTGATCATCTGTTAGGTGTCTTTTGGAGTACATATGTAAGCATACTGTTTGATACATATCTAAGAGTGAAATTTTTATGTCATAAGCAAAATGTATGTAGATATTGCCAAACAGTTTTCTAAAGTGGTTGGACACGAGAGGTATATGAGAGTTGCACTGTAGGCATCTTCACTGACACTTGATACCATCTTTTTCATATACCTCTTAATGGTGGGTGTATAGTAGTATGACATTGTGGTTTAATTTTATATTTCTTCAATAACTAGTGAAATCACCATTCCTCTGATTTTTGGATGTGTCTATCCATATCCTTTTCCCATTTTTCTATTGGGTCATCTGTCTGTCTGAGTTCTTAGATAATCTTGATATTAGTCATGGTAGCTTGACTTTTCATCCTCTTAAGGTAGTCTAACTTACCATTTTTCTTTTAATGATTAGTGCTTAGTATCCTGCTTATAAAATCTTCGCTTACTCGAGTGTCATAAAGATTGGTCTCCTGTTGATTTTTTTTTCTAAAGGTTTATTGTTTTTTATCTTTCACAGTTAGGTCTTCAGAACATGTGAAATTATTTTTTTGTGTGTATTTTGTGTGTTGGGATCAAGTTTCTCTTCCCCGTAGGGTTATCTAGTTGATCCAGCATCATAGGTTGAAAACACTGTCCTCTCTCTACTGTGAACTGTTGTGTCATCTTTCTAATGATTCTGGTAACTATATAAGTGGGTTGATTGTAGAGTCTGTTACAGTGGTTGATTTGTCTTGTATCACTCATAGCTTCATAACAGATATTGATACTTCAGACAGTTCAAAGCCTAATTTGTCTTCATTATTGCTTTCACTATGATCACACATGGCTTTTTCACATATATTTAGAGATAGCTTGCCAATTTCTTTTTTAAAAGAAAAGTTATTTTTAACTGCTTTCTGTCACTGTGGTTTAATTTTGTTTTTCTAGATTTTATATAAGGAAACCCAGTAGTGCAGTGTTTAAGCACTTGGCTACAAACCTAAAGGTTGATAGTTCAAACCCATCCAAGTGGCTCTGCAGGAGAAAGAGACCTGGTAATCTGCTTCTGTAAAGATTACAGGCTAGGAAATCCTATAGGACAATGGTGTCACGTTGTATGTCAAAATTGACCCAACAGCACCTAACAACAAATGTAATTGGAGGGCTACTGGTACTGTTTGCTGTGACTGGAAACACTAGAGGGGGAACAAGTTTGTGTAAGATGTTTAGTGGTAGCTTTTAGGATCTAAAGCATTGGGCTGCTAACCAAAAGGTCAATGATTCAAACTCACCAGCCCCTCCATGGGAGAAAGATAAGGCAGTCTGCTTCCATCAAGGTTTGTAGCCTTGGAAACCCTGTGGGGCGGTTCTACTCTGCCCTGTAAGGTTGCAGTGAATTGGAATAGACTCAGTGACAGTGGGTTTGGGTTTGTTTTTGGTTAGTAGGCAGTGGAAATGTGATCTGGAGTTCACACATGGTATTCATACTGGAGCACAGATGCATGTTTAGAAGATGGAGCTGGGAATTCAAGGAAATGGATGTGGTTGCTTTGGCAGAACACAGAGTACGGAAACCTTCCCAGTTATTTAGGGTTTCAGTTTCTCTGAGCAGTGTTTTGTCGTTTTTATTGTTAAAGTCTTACACAGCTTTCATTTGATTTACTTCTAGATATTTTTTATGCTGTCATAAGTGGAATTGTTTAAAAGTTTAATATTCTAGTTCTCTACTAAGGTATCTTTTAAAATCATGATTACTATGAAGTGAAATGCAAGATTATTTGCTGAAAGTAGGGTAATGCTAAGAATGTTTGAGATTTAGAAAAACACTTGCAAAATTTTAACATTGTCTTAGGGAAACTGGGAGACTGGGTTGCCCAGTATGTTTTTCCTTAGTATAGATGTCTTTTTGGGGTCAGCGACTTGAGTTCTCAAGGTACCAAGTAACTGACTGATCGTCCATCTGTAGGGATGAGACAGAGGGTTATTATTACCAATTACCCAGGACTGTTTGTTTTGTTCTCCTGTTTCTTTAATAGGGGTGATAATAGGCAGAGGAACAAAGGACTTTGGCAGAATAAATGGTTGAAGATCATGAGGACTATCAGCTGGGTGAGTGAAGCAACGACAAGTGGAGGTTGGAGGTGGCTGTCGGGAAGGGGCCTGCAGTGCTGTCCAGAGGGAGAGTTAATGTGAGAAGAAGGTTGTGTAGGAGGTTTTTCCAGAGGGCAGGTTTCTGAATCCTTACCTGGGAAGTAAAGCAGATTGCCGTGATGACAAAGTGTCTGCGCTGTGGCCAAGGGCGTGTGTGCTTGATGTGGAGTGTGGGGGCAGAGCGCTCTGGAGATGGGACCCTCCGTATGGATTCTGGAGGCCTCCTAAATGATGGCCTAGTTAAGAACAGAAGTCTGGACTAAAGTCTTTAATGAGTGAGGGAGTTCAACACAATTTTCCTTAGTGACAAATCACCTGGGAAGAGTGATTCCTGAGTGTTACTTGAGGTGGGCCAGAGACCCCTACCAAACTGCTTGGAAGTTTTACCTTGGTATGAGAAAGGTCCTGAGTTAGACAACTTGCAGCTCAAAAGAGTAAATGCTGAAAAACATAAAGGTAAGAATTGTCCTCAGTATACAGAGAGGTGGAAAGTCTTTGACTGATCTTGTTTCTCTTTCAAGGAGCCCTGTTGGCACGTGGTTAAGCATTAAACTGTTAACTGAGAGTTTGGTGGTTTGAACCCACCAGCTGCTCCACTGGAAAAAGATGTGGAAATTCACTGTAGCCTTGGAAACCCTACGAGGGTGGTTCTACTCTGTCCTGGAGAGTGGTTCTGAGTCAGAGTTGACTTTTCACCAGCAGGTTTTTTGGTTACTCTTTCTCTCATTTACCACAGATGCCTATTTGGAGAAGACCGAGAGGAAGAGGACGAGCCTCCTGATTCTCCCACTGCCTAGTTGTTGGGCAGATTTCTTGTCATTTTCACAGAATGGCAGACCCAGATCTGTCTCGCACACTTGGTAAGTTCTTAAGTCAGTGCGTGTCCTCAGAAATCGAGCTTCCATGACCCCTGTTGCACAGCGGAGTCAGCGAGCTGAAGGTAATGTGCAGCGGTATGGAAGGCTGCCCAGGGAGGTCGGGTGAACTGGAAAGAGGTGGGAGCAAAGCTGCAAGAGCCTCAGGTGATTTGTGTTTGCTTCGGGGTCTTTGTGGATTTGGGAAAAGGAGGGAGTATGTGTGCTTGGTATATGAGGAAGAGTGGGCAGTAACCCTACATTCTCCCATTTATTCCTTTGAATAAGCATGAGTAAAGTTGCACTTCTGCCTCTTAGAGCTTCAATTTCTTCACCTGTAAATTGTGACTATATATCACTTCCTTACTGTCCTACTTTCTGTCTTTGAGGGGAGCAGAGCTGCTTTGACATCTGTGGTAGTTAAGTTTGTGTGTCAACTTGGCTAGGCCTGGTTGAGTGGCTGGGCAGCTGGATGTAGTATTCCCCCTGAGGAGACTGGTAATCAGCTCCATGGTGGAATCCACTGTGAGCAGCTGAGTAGCTGCCTTAGGGATGTGGTCTGCTTCCTCACTAGCTTATGGCACACTTGAACCCTGCATGTAGCCGAGTCGTTGTTCAGCAGCCTGCCATGCTCTGCCGACCTTGGGACTTACAGCGGACTTGAATTAATGGCCTTCTGTGTGATTTGGTAACATCAGGACTGTGCCTTTTTATTTGTCATCTTTGGGTTGTCAGCCTCAGCAGCCAATAGCTTGTCTGAGTGAAGAAAACCCTCTAGCTTCAGTGGTCCAGGAGCGGGAGGCAGAGCTGAAGCCCAAGGTTGAGGGACTTTCACCCACTCCCTAGAGCCTGGTACTTTGAACTTGGACTTAAAGCCTGTAAGAGAATTAACTCCTGTTTGTTCAAGCCATCCCATTTGTGGTATATTCTTGTCACAGTGGTACTAGGTAACCAGAACAATATCTTAACAAACATTTTGTATGTGTGTATATGTTTATATGTATGCATCTGTGTGTGTGTGTGTGTGTGTGTGTGTGTGTTGGGGGTATGAATGCTCTTGGTTAGAGTAGGGTAATTTCTTGATTTGTGAGTGCTGCAGTGTTGGGCAGGCTTTTGTGCTTAATGGATTCTCTCTTTTCTAGTTGTGTCTACCCAGGACCTTGCTTGTCTTCAGGAATTGAAAACTCATATTTCTTCAAAAGACTGCTCCTGTACTGAGAGCATGGACCTGTTTCCTTGCAATGTCTTGGAGCCTCATATGCCCACCAGGGACGATTCCCAGGTACACCAAGGTCTCAGGGCCCTTGATGGTAGGTGAGGCACTGCCGTAGAAGGCCCCCACTACTTCATGCTGAGACTCCTTTCAGTTCTTCACCCAGGTTGAACGATATCAGATCAAGGTGCTAGAGAGAGGGCCACAGAATGTTATGAGGCTGTCTTGGAGTCAGGAAAGTCAGGGAAAATGATATATGTACCAGGTGCTTGCAGAATGCTCAGGCCATGCTTGACCCTAGAGCTAAAGCTGAAAGCTCTTCAACTAGACTAACCAAACTTTAAGTGCAGAGAGAGATTTGGTCTTGTGTCAGAGGTACATCTGAAGTGATGAGACAGGACGAGATCCTCATGGGGAGAAGAAGATTACTGAGGACTGACTTCTGGAGTAGAAGCTGAGACCCTTCAGAACCCATTCTGAAAATCCTTCATGTGGGGTCTCTCATGCCGAGTCTTCAGCCTCAGCTATCTATCCTGTGAACATTGATAGGCTGGTTTCTCACTGACCCAGAATGCATATGATGTTTTAGGAGTCGGTGACTTTCCAAGATGTCGCTGTGGACTTTACTGAGAAAGAATGGCCCTTGCTAGATTCTTCTCAGAGAAAACTCTATAAAGATGTGATGCTGGAGAACTATAGCAACCTCACTTCAGTGGGTAAGGCTGGCATCATTTCTGCGTTTATCCATTCATTAATCCCATGGTTTCTTACAGCAGTTGCTGTGACCCAGGACCTTTGGGTGGTTTTGGAGCATAGTTGTGAACAAGCAGTCCTGGTCTCTGCTCTCACGGTGTCTCCATGGATATTGAGTCCTGTCCATTGCATGGACTTTGGAGATTCTCCCATGTGTGTCTGAGTTTGAACATGGGTTTCTGAAGTAAGAAACCTCTTTTCTCTTGGAGGGCTAAATATGTGGACTTTTTTTTTTTTTTTTTCATGAAAGACCTATATTCTGTTTTTTTAGAAATCTGGCACCACTAGTTTGCTGCTCTTAACTCAGACTTGTCTATATTCACTGAACACATGTTGACCCTAGTGTAATGGAAGGGGTTGTCCTCTGCACAGTCCTCCCTCAACATATTTCTTTCCCCATGAGTAGGGTATCAGCTTGGCAAGCCCAGCCTCATCTCCCACTTGGAGCAAGAAGAAGTACTGAGGACAGAGGAGAGGGTAGCTCACCGAGGCACCTGTCCAGGTGAGCACCAGGCTAATGAGTGTGTACTTTTGAGTTTCAGCTCTGTTCAGTGATCATGATAAGGAACATTAGGAAATACCAACTGGGAAATTCAAATAAGTATCTTTTTTCTCTTTCGCTACCCATGCATTGTCTCACAAGTATTCTGGTCTCATTGCCTCTTTATCTTAAATTTGATGTTTTTATCCCTTTCTTTCATAGTTGACATTTCTGATCATACTATATTTCAATATCATTGCTAGTCTTTGAAGAATTATTTCTTATAATATAAAATTTAATGCAATTAAATTTCTATCCCTGTCATTACACAGTGGTTAAACACTCAGCTCCTAACCCAAAAGTCTGTGGTTCAGACTAGCAGCTCCATGGCAGAAAGATGTGGTGATCTGCTCCAATAAAATCACAGTGTTGGAAACCGTATGGGGCAGTTCTACTTTGCCCTACATGGTCCCTGTGAGTCAGAAGTGACACCATTGGATATCATTACATATAAATCTCAAAGCCAAATTCTTCACAGTCATTTTTGCTCTTGTGTGTGTGTGTTTGTTTCCTTTTTACATTATTTTCCGTGATTAGGGTTAGTATTTGCAAAAAGAATTGACCTGTTTTTGTCACCATCATCCCCATGTTTCCCTTTTCTAGCAAGTTAGTGTTTTTCCATTTTGTTTTCAGATTGGAAGGTTCCATCTAAAACAAAATGGTCAATTCTTATAGAAGATATTTTTGGGAAGGAAACATCCAATGTTGTGACAACGGTAAGAATTTCTTGGGATAATTTTTGATCTTCCACATTAGGAGAAGACTAGAGCTGCCTTATCTGGTGGCATAGTGCCTAAGGCACTTGACTGCTAACCAGAAGGCTGGCGGTTCAAACCCACTAGCCACTCCTCAGAAGGAAGGTTGGGCATTGTACTTCCCTAGTGATACTGCCTTGGAAACCCAAGGAGGGGTCACTATGAGTCGGATTCTACTTGATGGCAGTGAGTTTTGTTTGGTAGAGCTGCCTTGCGTTGGAAAAGCATCTCAAAACCATGCATGTCACTTGAAGCGGGAGGCATGTCCCAAGGGGAAGCAGTGTCTCAGAGACAGTGTTATCAAAAATTATAGTTTAGGGGGGGAAATCCTAAACCTAGCCCCAAAGTTCTGTACTTAGAACTCCAGTAAGTAAACATTTCCAAAACTATGTCACAGACAGTGAGTGTTAGGCTTGATTCAGTTATGAAGCTCTATATGTGAAAAGCCTTGTAAATGTAACATGCGATGGAGCTTTATGGCATAGCATTTAGCCCTTGTAATTGATGGAGCAGGAACAGAACATTTGCACTGCAAATGATATATTCAGTTATGATGATATGTTTCCTTCCTACTCATAGCAGTTTAAGTGGAGGAAAATTCCTATAAATGTAATGACTATGGGAAGTGTTTCATGTAGCACTCATCTCTTTAATCTATAGGAAAGAACTGGACTTGGTGAGAAACCCACTGAATATGCTCACTTTTTTGACGTCTTCAGCGTGGGGGCTCATCTTACTCAGCAAGTGGGACGTCGCCATGGGAAGAGGCCCTATCACCGCCGTGACTGTGGGGCGTCCTTTAAGGATGGCTTGCATCTCACCCAACACGTGAGCATTTATGGTGGGAGAAACATGTATGAATGCCATCAGTGCCAAAAAGCCTTCACCACAAGGTCTTCTCTTACACGCCACAAGAGGATACACACTGGGGAGAAGCCCTATGAGTGCAATGCCTGTGGGAAAGCCTTCAATGATCCTTCAGCTCTTCGGAGTCATGTGCGAACTCACACCAAAGAGAAGCCTTTTGAGTGCAATCAATGTGGAAATGCCTTCCGCACCCTCTCCTCCCTGAAGATACACATGCGAATTCACACTGGGGAGAGGCCTTACGAATGCAACCAGTGTGGGAAGGCCTATGGCAGGAGCTGCCATCTCACTGCCCACAAGAGGACGCACACTGGAGAGAGGCCCTATGAATGTCATGACTGTGGGAAAGCTTTCCAGCATCCTTCACACCTTAAAGAACATGTCCGGAATCACACCGGGGAGAAACCCTATGAATGCACACAGTGTGGCAGAGCCTTCCGCTGGAAGTCTAACTTCAACTTGCACAAGAAAAACCACATGATAGTGAAAACATACGAATGTAAAGAGTGCGGGAAAGCCTTTGGTGATGTCACATCACGGAGGAAACATATGCGAATTCATATAGTCAAGAAACCCGTTATCTGTAGACAGTGTGGAAAAGCCTTCAGAAACCAGTCAATCCTTAAGACACATATGAACTCTCACACTGGGGAGAAGCCGTACGGGTGCGATCTGTGTGGGAAGGCCTTCAGTGCAAGCTCTAACCTTACTGCGCACAGGAAAATACATACCCAGGAGAGGCGCTATGAATGCACTGTCTGTGGGAAAGTCTTCGGTGATTATTTATCACGAAGGAGACATATGAGCATTCATCTTGTAAAGAAACGTGTTGAATGCAGACAGTGTGGAAAAGCTTTCAGAAACCAGTCCACCCTTAACACACACATGAGAACTCACACAGGGGAGAAACCCTACGAGTGTGACCATTGTGGGAAGGCCTTCAGCATAGGTTCTAACCTTAATGTGCACCGGAGAATACACACTGGGGAGAAACCCTATGAATGTCTTGCCTGTGGGAAAACCTTCAGTGACCACTCATCCCTGAGGAGTCATGTGAAAACACACCGTGGAGAGAAGCTCTTTGTGCCATCTGCTTGGCGGAGGCTCCAGTGAACACGCCTTCTTTATGAACAACATGAGTTCAGGCTTGAACGAAACCTTGTAGATAAAAGGAAGGTGGGAAAGCCTTCATGGGCTCTCACTTTCCTGAACAAAAAAAAGTACATGTAATTTGGGAGAAAACCAATTTGTGTAATAACTGTGGGAAGATTTGGGTTGTTTCTCACCACTTAAGAGACTGTGAGAACTCATGCTGGGGAGAAAATGTATTTCTGTGGTGTGGAGAAGCCTTCAGTGTACATTCAGTTTTTAACAAAAATAACCTGAAGAAAAATCCCTGCTTGGTATTTAATGTGGAAATGTTTTCAGCACCACCTTTCACCTTTTGGGTATGAGAGTAAACATACTAGGGAGAATTTCTTTAAATACAATGACTGAGAAACCTTTCCTGGTCTCACACTGTATTCCTCATGAGAGAAATCACACTAAAGAGAAAAACATATATATATATATATATAAAAACATATATCTATATATAAAGTAAGGATTGTGGGGATGTCTACAGCAAGAGTCAGTAAACTATGGCCTCTGGTCTGTTTTTTATATGGCCCATAGCTAGTAATAGTTTTTTTACATTTTTAAAGAAGACCAATGTGACAGACACCATATGTGGCCCACAAAGCTTGAAATACTTGCTGTCTGGCCTTTACAGAACATCTCTGCCATTCCTTAATCTGAAGCAGTGCTTCTCAACATGGGGGTGGGGTGGGAGAGGAGTGTACGGTTTTGTGGTCCAGGAAGCATTAGCTAACGTCTGGATACATTTTTGGTTGTTAAAACCAGGAGGGCGGTGCTGCTGGTATCTAGTGGGAAGACCTCAGGTTAATCATCCCACAGTGCACAGGAAAGAGTCCTGGGTTGTGCAAACGGTTGAGTGCTCAGCTACTACCCAAAAGATTACCAGTTCAAAGCCACCAAGAGGGACCTCGGAAGAAGGCTTGGTGGTCTGCTTCTGAGGTCACGGCCTTGAAGACCCTATGGAGCAGTTCTACTCTGCACACACGGGGTCGCCATAAGTTGGAATCACCTCGATGTCATCTCACAATAATAATGCACAGTATCCCCCGACAGCAAAGGATTACCCACCCCAAAGTTGCAGTATTGTTGACGTGGAGAAAACCTGGTCTACAGTAATCCCTCAATTTTTATAGAACATGTGAGTGCTCACAGGAGAAGATGCCTTTAAAACTTTTAAATATAATCATTGTGATTCCTCTTTCAGGAAACATGTGAAAACTCACTGCAGATAATTCGTATGGACGTAGTCAGTGTGGAGATGCTTTCAGCCACAGCGCCTCAATTCTTGTGCAGATGAGAATTCATACTGGGAGAGAAAATGAATTTTCCAGTGAATGAGATCACCTTTATTGGTCTTTTATCATGAAAACGGACCCCCAGCTTCTTAATTTTCAGTCTTTTTGTTTAAGATCATATTCCTCTAATTAACCCTTAAGCCTAATCACAAAAGGTTTGTATATAGTATTTTTATTATAACTTCATTCTTGATGTATCTGATTTCTTTTTGGATAACTTTTTGGATCAGTGGGGTATTGAGAAGTACATTATATACTGTGTAACATGTGGGTATGTTTAGTACCTGTTTGTTACCGGCATCTAAGTGAAAAGCATTGCATTTAAATATCAGAGCATGATATTTATTACATCATCACATGGATCCTTTGGTACATTTGCAGCTTCCTGTTTGGCCAGCAGTGGCATATACTTTCTAATTGCTTCCCCAATATCCGCTCTCATCTTCCATAAGAAGACAATCTGGTATTTGTCAGGTTAATAAAATAAGCTATTTTAAAAAATTTTCATCTTACAGGTATTCTTGCAACTCATAGCGTCCATGTGCCCCAGCCTGGGCCATTGACAAGCAGAAGTCACTGTATGGGCTTCTGGGTAAGTTTTTGAAAAAGAGTCAGTCTTACCAGAATTCTGCTCTACACTTTTGTCTTTTTTTTTTTGTCTTCCCCTCAACTCTCCACCCTGAAAAGAGATCCAGTGTCTGGTATTAATGGATCTGTCTTGTGACCATGAGGAGGAACACCAGTGGATAAGGAGGACACTGCAGACGGTCACAGTGGTCCTGGCCTCCCCAGTGGCATCGTTGAGCGTGTGCAGTAGCTCTGGACACATGATTTCCAGCCTTCTGTTACGTCCAAAAATAAATAAATAAACTGATGCTGACTGGTTTCAGCTGCTGTGGAGGTTTTATTATTTTTCAATTTATTTGAGAGTGTTCTGCTATACCAACATGGATACAGTCCCTAATCCATATGTCAGGTCATCGGTCAGTTTTTATAACTGCTCCTTATGTGATTATAAACTGCATGTACTTACTTGTTGGGTTAAAAACAAAAACAAAAACATTGCTATTGAGTCAATTTTGACTCATAGTGGCCCTGTAGGACATAGTGGAACTGTTCTATAGGGTTTCCAAGGCTGCAGTCTTCATGGAAGCAGACTGCCACATCTTTCTCACACAGAGTGGCTGGTTGGTTAAAACTGCCGACCTTTTTGGTCAGAAGCTGAACACTTAACCATGGCATTACCAGGGTACTGTAATTGTTAGGATTTTTAAAAATTCTTTAGACCAAGTTTTTATATTGTATTTTAGGTCTTTAAGGTTTTCTGTTCTTGGCCTGTTACCTACTAAAAGGTATACCTGTTGTGACGATATAGGTAATACTAACATCTCCATTTTGCGTATGAGGAATTGAAGACAAAGTTGAGGTTACTTGCCTGAGCTCAACCTGTTAGCAAGTAATTGTGCTAGTATTTGAACCCTAGTGCCTAAGGCATTTTACTGCTAACCAGGAGGCTGGCGGTTCAAACCCAGCAGGCACTCCTCAGAAAGAAGATTGGGCGATCTACTAGAGATACTGCCTTGGAAACCCAAGGAGGGGTTGCTGTGGGTCAGATCTGACTTGATGGCAGTGAGTTGTTTTGTTTTGTTTTGTTTTTGTCCAAAGTCCATTGCTCCATTATGCCAGATACTCGTCTGTATGCCAGGTCTGTAGCAGTTGATCAGGATTTTCATGGTGCTTTATATTGTACTTGGTGGTGAGGCACCGATAAATAAGTAAACATATAGTGGGTCAAATGGTGGGCAATGAAATGGAGAGGAATTAAAGGTTGCTGATGATATTAGAGGTCTAGCGATATCCAAGGGCTAGGGACAGCCTTTCCATTAGGGGAGGTTGGAGCAGAGATTTAAGTGAACTGTGAGTGGGAGGGATATCACAGCTGGGGAGAGCAACTTGATGGTTCAGAGGCCACAGGAAACTGCTGTTTTTGCATCTTAGTTTCTTAGTGCTGCCATAACTGAAATGCCACGAATGAGTGTGGCATTAACAAACAGAAATGTCATTTTCTTAACAGTTTAGGAGGCTAGAAGTTTGAGTTCAGGGCACTGTCTCTTAGGGAAAGGCTCTAGTCAGCTCTAGAAGAAAACCCTCATCTTGGCTTCTCTTGGAACTACCCCTACTCCTTGCTTGTCGACTTTCTCATTATCTGACATTTCACATTTATGATCATATTGAAAAGTCTGTCTTAATATTTTGTGCATTAATGACATAAGTCTGGCAGTAAGAAGCACAGAGGTGGGAGTTGTAATGCTGGCTGTGAGTTAAGCTTATGTTTCAACTTGCCTGGGCCATGATTCTCAGTGGTTTGAGTTGAGTTATGATGTAATTTGGTAATTTTCACACTGCCAAAGTCACATAACGACCTGGTCTTTGGAACCTAAGTGAAGATGGAAACTCTAAAAACTGTCGTAGAGTCGGCTCCGACTCCTAGCGACCCCTCCTTGCGTTCCCAAGGCAGTATCACTGTGGAAATAGATTGCCCAATCATCCGAGGAGTGGCTGGTGGGTTTGAACCACCAGCCTTCTGGTAAGCAGCATTAGGCACTACACCACCAGAGCTCCCTAGTGAAGATGGGTATGCTCAATTCTGCCACAACTACTCAACTGTCTAATTCTGCTGTTGTACCAGGAAAGCAAACAGATGATCCATGAACAGTGGACGTTGGCAGTGTTAAAATACACGAGGCAGAATATGTGGTAATTTGTGAACTCTGCTGTAAGGGATTATCAAATCAATCTTTCATTAACAATTTCTGAGTCCTCACTGTTGTTGTTGTTGTTATGTGCCGTCGAGTCGGCCCCGACTCATAGCGACCCCTCCTTGGGTTTCCGAGGCAGTATCACTACGGAAGTAGGATTGCCCAACCTTCCTTCCGAGGAGTGGCTGGTGGGTTTGAACCGCCAGCCTTCTGGTTAGCAGTCAAGTGCTTTAGCCACTATGCTACCAGAGCTCCTCACTAGAGTTGCTAATTTTTGTCTGATCTCTTACTGAGAGATGCTTGGATTTGTCAAATTCTCTGGTGATCAGTTTTGCATTCTTTCAGAAATTTTCTGCCTACTTCCTAGTTTCCTTCTTTCCTCCTGTTTCCCAACATCAAAAGTAAGAACTTTTTTTTTTACCTGTTTCAGCCCCCATTGTCTCCATACTGAATTGCAGGGCCTGAATTCCCTCCTCCCTTCCGTAGGATTTACCTAATGCCTATGAAGATTAGCAGTCCTTGCAGTAGGCAGAAATTAGCATCAGGGGCCAGGAGTCTGTAAAGCCCTGCGTGTGGCATAGTCCTGGACTTTGTGTCTAGGTGGCATAGGGCACACCCAGGATTTTGACATCTCCATCTACTGTGTGTGTAGTATAGGGCCTGACATGGATCAGGCAAGCAGAGGTGTTTGCCGTTTCGAGGATGAGTCATCCAGCTGAGTTTTGTCTGGAAGTCCATTGCTGGTGGGTCGATCTTGACTCATAGTGACCCTATAGGACAGGGTAGAATTGCCCCATAGGATTTCCAAGGGTATAAACCTTGCAGAAGCAGATTGCCACAACCTTCTCCCATGGAGCAGCTGATGAGTTTGAACTACCAACCTTTTGGTTAGCAGCTGAGTGCTTTAACCATGGCACCAAAT